TGCTAGTTTGATACTCTGTCAGTATAATGCTAGTTCTATACTCTGTCAGTTTGATGCTAGTTCTATACTCTGTCAGTATGATGCTTGTTCTATACTCTGTCAGTATGATGCTAGTTCTATACTCTGTCAGTATGATGCTAGTTCTATACTCTGTCAGTATGATGCTAGTTTCTAAACTCTGTCAGTATGATGCTAGTTTGATACTCTGTCAGTATGATGCTAGTTCTATACTCTGTCAGTTTGATGCTAGTTCTATACTCTGTCAGTATGATGCTAGTTCTATACTCTGTCAGTATGATGCTTGTTCTATACTCTGTCAGTATGATGCTAGTTCTATACTCTGTCAGTATGATTCTACTTCGATACTCTGTCAGTATGATGCTAGTTTGATACTCTGTCAGTATGATGCTAGTTCTATACTTTGTCAGTTTGATGCTAGTTCTATACTCTGTCAGTTTGATGCTAGCTCTATACCCTGTCAGTATGATGCTAGTTCTATACTCTGTCAGTATGATGCTAGTTCTATACTCTGTCAGTATGATGCTAGTTCGATACTCTGTCAGTATGATGCTTGTTCTATACTCTGTCAGTTTGATGCTTGTTCTATACTCTGTCAGTTTGATGCTAGTTAGTTCGATACTCTGTCAGTTCGATGCTAGTTCTATACTCTGTCAGTATGATGCTAGTTCTATACTCTGTCAGTATGATACTAGTTCTATACTATGTCAGTATGATACTAGTTCTATACTCTGTCAGTACGATGGTAGTTCTATACTCTGTCAGTTTGATGCTAGTTCGATACTCTGTCAGTACGATGCTAGCTTTATACTCTGTCGGTTTGATGCTAGTTCTATTCTCTGTCAGTATGATGCTAGTTCTATACTCTGTCAGTATAATGCTAGTTCTATACTCTGTCAGTATGATGCTAGTTCGATACTCTGTCAGTACGATGCTAAGTTCGTTCTATACTCTGTCAGTTTGATGCTAGTTTGATTCTCTGTCAGTATGATGCTAGTTAGATACTCTGTCAGTATGATGCTAGTTCTATACTCTGTCAGTATCATGCTAGTTCTATACTATGTCAGTATGATGCTTGTTCTATACTCTGTCAGTATGATACTAGTTCTATACTCTGTCAGTATGATGCTAGTTCTATACTCTGTCAGTATGATGCTAGTTCTATACTCTGTCAGTATGATGCTTGTTCTATACTCTGTCAGTATGATACTAGTTCTATACTCTGTCAGCATGATGCTAGTTCTATACTCTGTCAGTATCATGCTAGTTCTATACTATGTCAGTATGATGCTAGTTCTATACTATGTCAGTATGATGCTAGTTCTATACTCTGTCAGTATCATGCTAGTTCTATACTATGTCAGTATGATGCTAGTTCTATACTCTGTCAGTATGATACTAGTTCTATACTCTGTCAGTATGATGCTAGTTCTATACTCTGTCAGTATGATGCTAGTTCTATACTATGTCAGTATGATACTAGTTCTATACTATGTCAGTATGATGCTAGTTCTATACTCTGTCAGTATGATGCTAGTTCTATACTCTGTCAGTATGATGCTAGTTCGATACTCTGTCAGTATGATGCTGGTTCTAAACTCTGTCAGTTTGATGCTTGTTCTATACTCTGTCAGTTTGATGCTAGTTAGTTCGATACTCTGTCAGTTCGATGCTAGTTCTATACTCTGTCAGTATGATGCTAGTTCTATACTCTGTCATTATGATACTAGTTCTATACTATGTCAGTATGATACTAGTTCTATACTCTGTCAGTACGATGGTAGTTCTATACTCTGTCAGTTTGATGCTAGTTCGATACTCTGTCAGTACGATGCTAGTTCTATACTCTGTCGGTTTGATGCTAGTTCTATTCTCTGTCAGTATGATGCTAGTTCTATACTCTGTCAGTATAATGCTAGTTCTATACTCTGTCAGTATGATGCTAGTTCGATACTCTGTCAGTACGATGCTAAGTTCGTTCTATACTCTGTCAGTTTGATGCTAGTTTGATTCTCTGTCAGTATGATGCTAGTTAGATACTCTGTCAGTATGATGCTAGTTCTATACTCTGTCAGTATCATGCTAGTTCTATACTATGTCAGTATGATGCTAGTTCTATACTCTGTCAGTATGATGCTAGTTCTATACTCTGTCAGTATGATGCTAATTCTATACTCTGTCAGTATGATGCTAGTTCTATACTCTGTCAGTATGATGCTAGTTCTATACTATGTCAGTATGATACTAGTTCTATACTCTGTCAGTATGATACTAGTTCTATACTCTGTCAGTATCATGCTAGTTCTATACTATGTCAGTATGATGCTAGTTCTATACTCTGTCAGTATGATGCTAGTTCTATACTATGTCAGTATGATGCTAGTTCTATACTATGTCAGTATGATTCTAGTTCTATACTCTGTCAGTATGATGCTAGTTCTATACTATGTCAGTATGATGCTAGTTCTATACTCTGTCAGTATGATGCTAGTTCTATACTCTGTCAGTTTGATGCTAGTTCTATACTCTGTCAGTATGATGCTAGTTCTATACTATGTCAGTATGATGCTAGTTCTATACTCTGTCAGTATGATACTAGTTCTATACTCTGTCAGTATGATACTAGTTCTATACTCTGTCAGTATGATGCTAGTTCTATACTCTGTCAGTTTGATACTCTGTCAGTATGATGCATCATAAGTTGCCTTTTGAATTTAAACACAAATATGTTATGCTTAAAAAAAGTATTGTTGCCTGTTATTGGGTAACTGAATGGGCAAAAATAAAATTTATTTCCATTTTCATCATAATGATCTAGATTGCACAATGGTATCAAAATATTACCCACGATATTGTTCTAGTTTTCAATAACTGATATATAGGGATTTACCCAACTTACCCGCGCACGAGTGTCTCCTCTATTATTTTTGCCATTTTTTTGGCTCGCGCTCCATGCAGTGAAGTGCATCTATTACGCCCCTTATAAACAGAGACTCTTTCACATTTTGGTGATCTGTTTAAATGAGAGCCCTCGTGTATGTTATCGACGTGGTTAATCTGGAAATGCTTATACCAAAATAAAATTTTCAAACATGTTTCATCGTTACAATTTGAGAAAACGAATTTTTACATTTTTTGTCGTTAATGAAATGCGCAATTCTTTTTTCTCCTCTTTATATTTTTGCATTTATTGAGTTTAGCATTTCAGTTCTTGGTATAACTTTGCTGGAACTAAATACGTAACCGCGTTCTATTGATATAACGAATCATTTTTCACTTTTAACACAAGTTTAAGCATTTCCAAAAAGACTAAGAATCGCTGTTCATACGGGTATCCGGTATTTTTTGTGAAATGGACTCCTTCCCAAAAATATACCTTTTTTTTGTCCCAGATAAAGCTAATATTGCTTCTTTTATGAAATCAAAGTTGTTTACCTCACAAGAACCTACGCACCGGTTTCAAGCTTCGTACATGATGATAGTGTTTCAAATCTATATTAAGGGGACAGGGGACCTAAAAATGAACAATTTTGTATTTCAGTGTGGCCAGAAACACAATTCCAAATATTTCAAAACCTGTTTTACAGGCAGATAACCAGTTGCACAGCATTATGACATACATTGAATTAATAATAGTGTGCATTCATTGCTCCTAAAAATAATGACTGACAGCAATTATAATTACCTCCATCCAGCAAAAATCACACCTAAAATATACCAATATAGGCAATCTTCATGAAGATGCAGCATACTCCAGAATTCGCCCGAACACAGTGCAATCAATGGCATTTTCAAAAAATGACCAATACAGTGTCTGTCATACGTTTAGATTTTTCACAAAATTTATCCAAAATTTCTTACTTGTTTGGCGCCTACTCAAAGCTTCATTTTTAACTTTTTCACCTCCATTAGGAGAGTCACAAATACAAACAAAGCTACCAAAATGCATACTGCTCATTTCCTACAAACAAACAAGAAAGAATTACAATGACATAGAAATATCAAAAGTTTCCAGTACTTTCAAAACAATGTCTGAGATATTAAAAATTTGACCGGGGCCATCATTCGGATATGTCCATTAAGGTAACCCGACAAAAACATGGCGGATGGAGTGCCCAGCAGGCGGGGCGCCCCTTTTTGAGGTCTTTTGTCGTCCATTTTGTTATCATGTGGTATTAAATTCTCCATTCTGATTGGTTAACGGGAGGCCGTGTGCGGATAGAAATTGTTAAAATCTTGCATAGGAACGACGACAATCATGTTTCTTAGTTCCCTGTACATTAATATTCTGCCAACATGTTTGATATTCATTTTCTGTGAGCCAATAGCATCTGTACAAAAAGATGATAAGTTTTCCCTAACTTTTGATCATGCGTTATTAATAAATGTTGGCACATTTTTTATTGACCACATATCTAATATAAATGTAAATTTCGAAAAAATGAACAAACATGCGGAAATAATTCTGTTTTATAATACACTTTGTGACCTGTTAAAAATGTCACTCGGGCAAAAGTCATTCATTTTATAATTAAAAATGGTTAAAAATAATGATAAATCAGTGTTTGATATTAAAAAACTGTCGTAGCAATGAGACTGGCAGAACTGCTGTTTGAACATATTTCATATTTTGAATAAAATAGCATTTTTAAGCCGAAATACGGTGAGGTCGCTTATGCGTGGTCGTGATCGTTTATTTGATGATCTTCAAACCAATAAGATATACGGTTTATGTGACGAAAAGGCATGTTTTCGCATGTATATAACATTAAGTATAATTCATATAACAGTAGACAAAAATACCAGCACAGCTTAAAAAATGGGATTACGGTAGTTGTTATAAAAAAATAGCTGCACCGTTTAAAAAATGGAATTACGGTAGTTAATTATACTATTTGACAAAAAGACTGACCAGTTTAAGGACATGATCATTACTCTCTTTTATTTATTCTAAAAATAAGCCACTATTTATTTATTTTCAGGTATGAAGACAAAGAGCTGGAGGATGTTGGAATTAAACAAGGTGTTATAGGTATAAGTAAAGTGTCAGAGAGAACGGTTAAAGAAGACTCATCAACATGTAGCATCATTTAAGTTCTTAGACATTTAGATAAATAAAAGAATACAGAATAAAAAAATCATTGCTATTCGTTTAGAACATGAACATCAAAACAACCCAGTACAAGACAGCTAAAAGTAACAAAGCAACACTGAAGTTCATTTCACCATGCAAAAGAATATAAGATTCAACGAAAGTCAATTGATATATCTCGTTAGCAAGGCTAGAAGAGAAAATTCAAATGCCGGCTTCCTATACAAGAAGAGTTCCGACACGGGCAAGTGGCAACAGCGATATTTCTTGCTTTACCAAAATTTGATGTTTTATTTCGAGAATGAGACCTCATCCCGGCCCCTTGGGGTGATACTTTTAGAAGGAAGTTACTGTGAACGAATTATCACCCCGCTTAAAGGAAAGGAATCTGAAAAACAGGTATTTACAAATATACAAGTACATCTAAATATTATGGTGGCTGATTTGGTTGATTCTGCGCGTTGCGTTGTCGATAGCGACAACACAACCTAAATCGTTAACGCCTTTTCGTCTTGTCGCCAGCGAAACGCGTCAAACGGCACGTTGTCGCACTGTCGTCTTGAGGTCCTGTTGCTAGCGAAGCACGCCAAACGGCACGTTGTCGTGCGGCGCGTTGTCGCGATGTCGACCTGTTGCTTGGCTTATATTTATACAAATAGCCAATCCTTCGATTTGAGCCGAGCGACAATGTGACATCGAGACAACACGCCACACGACAACGCGCCGTTTGGTGTGCTTCGTTAGCGACAGGACGACAGGGCGACAACGCGCCGTTTGGCGCTTTATCGTGTGTCGTTAGACAACACGACGCATAAAAGTGTTCCAAATCAGCCACCATAAAATATACAAGCTATAAGGTCTAACTTGAGTTGTCGTTTTATGCTCACTTGAATAATACTTTATCTTATAAAACGTACTTTATCTTATAAAACGAGAATGTGGCTACAAATCTATATAAAATGACAATTTATGTAACTTTTTATCACGTGGTATTAGAAACCCAGAACACCCGACACAACGTGCCATAGTTTTATCAAAATGTTTGTTTTATAAGGAAATATAGGTTATCGCCATATTGTATTAAAAAAGCAAACGACACAATGTGATTTATGCTATTCTTCCGGTCTTCTAATGACATTAATTTATAGTTTCGTCATTTTATCTAGTCTATTCCCATTGTTTATGTCTAAATTTCTACGTATCATGACACTTGACTCATTGAAATTATAATATGAAAAAAAAAAAATTCAATATTTAGGATTTGAAATAGAACACGTGTAAAAAGTGTTTGCATGCCATCATTCTTTCATCACCATCACCAGTACTGAAATATAATTACGCTATAGCCATCTCCAAGATTTACAAGATTTTATTATTCACTCAATACACAATCTACGAACAGGCGAACTTATACGCAACATCGTCTCTATTTTGTAAGTAATTTAGTCCAATTAAGACAAAAAACAAAATTATTTTTTTTCCTCAGTCGAAGAACTCATATTTTTAACATTGACAAAATAAAGGAATTGTCATAAATTTCGGTGCGAAAAATGACGATTTAATGCGACATCATTGTGTTACATTATGTTCGTATTGTATATTTTTGTGTTATATTACGGTCATGTACAATATACAGGTAAACATGTGAATAAGGGCCATCCGAAGGAGATACTATACATTGCCTTATTATATTTTTGTGAAGTATATGGTCATGCACAATATTTCCAAATAGTATGGTCATTTACAATATTTTATGTTGATTTGGTGATATATTCACCATTTTATGGCTTATTTTGGTCATGTTCCATATTCATGGTTATGTACAATATTTTTTGTGCTATACATGTATTAACGTCATGTACAATATTCTTGTATTTTATTTTTGTCTTGTTATTTTATGGTCATATATACAGTACTTTGTGTCATGTACAATATTTTTGTTTTAAAGTATATCTTTCTTGGCGATCATTCTAATGTTATCGCCCAATGTGTTCACTAGTTCTGGTGTATGTACTGTAATTGTCTGGTTTCAAAGTGTTCCAGTTTTTATGCCCTCTGTAATACAGGTCTTATTAAGTCGATCATGTAAAACACTCAACGAAACAATATATTTCATTGCCAACTCTTTTGTCATTAAAACAGTTCATTCAAACAAAAATTGTGCGGCGGCATAGGCGAAGGGTTAAACGCTCGGGATAGTAATTTAAGGATCTAGCCGCGTGGGTGGGGAAAGCCGTTCGTCGTTTCCTTGGGGGCAAGAAACTTATCACTCATTTTGCTCAGTACTGAATACTTACAAGTACGGATTCGAGAGTCTGTGTATAAGGTTATAGATTTCCACACAATCGAACTAAAATAAATTCTGTGTTAACTATATTTACATGGCAATTGCTTTAAAAAAAATTAGATTTGATATTTTCCAACAACTCCTCTAGTTTTAACTTTCACCGAGCTTTGTTTTGCAGTTTTAATTCCTTTTACCCCGAAGTTCTTTTGAAGACTTAATTAAAGTGCAGCGACAGAGCTTGGTTCCAATGCGTGTTTGTTGAACTCAATGGTATGGTCTAATAAACAGTGCTTATTTTGTTTAAGGTTAACACTTAGAAAAGATAGATGACATAATGTCAATTTCCTGAAAATTGTTTCCTTTATCGACGCTATGGAAGCATTACGAGTTCCCAGATAAGTATTGTGCTTCCTTTCGTGTTGAATTGCTATAGTGGATTTAGTTTATAACGTAATTCATATAATTATGTAATTTCTTGCCATACCACGTGACATTCTACGTCATTTTAAGCTGTTACAAGCTGTTACACATTGCGTTCTTTTCGAATTTTTATGCGACACGTAAAACTGTTCCATACACATGTCCCCATGTGACTCTTTTGTTAGGAAAACTGTTATTTGGGGGAAAAACTGTCAGAGTTCGTAAAAAGGCAAATTTGACACCAATGATAATGTATAAAAACTTTATACAGAACTCCAAGTATTGCAGTCACGTGGAACGGAAGTTGAGAATTGGTACAATTACCCAAGGAAAAAAGATTGCCAGTTTTCATTAGGTCATGCCAACACACAAAGAAGAAAAACAAAACAGACTGACTCACTCGTGTATTTAAACCCTTGTTTTTGTAGAAAATTGTCCTTTGCATCAGAAGAATTTCAGTAAGAACTCACTCTATACACGTAATGTAATAATTCGCTCAAGCGACGGAGAAAATTGAAAGTTATGTTTAGAAAAATTAAACAAGTAGCTTTCAAAAATTAGGTCCAACTGAACATTAAATGTCATTTTAGCGGAGCACTATTCGACAATAATGTACCATTGCGCAGTCTGGTCGTATGAACACTACTCACTCAATAGTGAACCATTGCGTAGTTTGACCGTAGTAGCACTACTCACTCAAAAGTGTACCATTGCTCAGTTTGACCGTATGAATACTACTCACTTTGCGTAGTTTGACCGTATGAACACTACTCACTCAATAGTGTACCATTGCGTAGTTTGACCGTATGAACACTACTCACTTTGCCTAGTTTGACCGTATGAACACTACTCACTCAATAGTGTACCATTGCGTAGTTTGACCGTAGGAGCACTACTCACTCAAAAGTGTACCATTGCTCAGTTTGACCGTATGAACACTACTCACTTTGCGTAGTTTGACCGTATGAACACTACTCACTCAATAGTGTACCATTGCGTAGTTTGACCGTATGAACACTACTCATTTAAAAGTGTACCATTGCGTAGTTTGACCGTAGGAGCACCACTCACTCAATAGTGTACCATTGCTCAGTTTGACCGTATGAACACTACTCACTCAATAGTGTACCATGGCGTAGTTTGGCCGTAGGAGCACTACTCACTCAATAGTGTACCATTGCGTAGTTTGACCGTAGGAGCACTACTCATTATTGTACTAGTGTGTAGTTTGACCTTAGGAGCACTACTCAATAGTGTACCAGTGCGTAGTTTGACCGTAGGAGCACTACTCAATAGTGTACCATTGCGTAGTTTGGCTGTAGGAGCACTACTCACTCAATAGTGTACAATTGCGTAATCTGACCGTATTAAAATAGAATAGGACCTTTCGACAAAATAAGATGATGGTTAAGTGGTTCTTTATAATAGGAAATCATTATAAAGTACATAGTACAGTGCCATTTCAATAGGAACTTACAGCTTAAATTGTATAGTCTTGATTAAAAGGTTTATTGATTTTAATGACTAAATGAAACTAAACGGGTATTGCGTGTATGAAATGAAATCACTTTAAAGTGCCACGACGATAATAATGTACGATAGATAAAACAAAGTTTATAATTTTCGCTCAAGGCATTTATAATGACTCATTGCATTTAAACCATAATTAAATTTATGAAAAGGAGGCAATTTGTACTCTTATTTTTCTTTGCATATTTTACCGGTAGACAATATTTTTAGTTTTTACAGAAAACCGTTTTCTGCTATTTATAAACTGGTTGTCACTTTTTAATTCAAGGTCAATGTTCAAATGCAAAAATCTTCGTTTCTAAGTGAAATTTCCGGAAACAAAATTAAATTTACACTTAATGAAACTAACCAATGGAACAAATATCAGTTTATTTCAAAGACGCGGGGCTTTAAGAAATTGTTCGAACAACAAGCAAGAACACGTACACATGTATTTCTTTAATTTTACATAAATTCAGCCAATCTGCAATGACTAAATAAGAATTGTATAGTACATTTGTCTTACCATTTGGTTATGACAATTTAAAATGAGGTCTTTACGTCGTGACTTCCGTTATTTTTATTCTTCATTTGACGCATGACACGTTACAATGGATAGGTGTAACCTTAAAAAAACACACAGCTTTTCATTGGCTTTGAAATCTGATTTCATTTATATTTTTCCATGTGTCATTTTTCTGAAAATTTATACATGATTTATTTCCTTGTACATAACTCCTTTAAATTTTACAAATATTAGATTCTATATTTAAACACATCTATCTTTAAAGTATTAATTTACAAACGATCCACGAATAATGGCGATGATCAGTTTACGAGGAGAAAATAATATCTTTACACTGATTTATAAGTTTTGATTTATAAGAAATGGTAGCGAATTAAGGCAATGACTAAAAATGCTACAAACATTTTACGACAGGTTTAAGTACAATATAAGGTTTCTAGAATTCTCTAGTATTCTTAAGTTTCCTTGTACCAATTGGTGAGTAAAATTATATCAAACGTAAATGAAGCTATGCTGTAAACATATATGAGCCGTGTCATGACAAAACCAACATAGTGGGTTTGCGACCAGCATGGATCCAGACCAGCCTGCGCATCCGCGCAGTCTGATCAGGATCCATGCTGTTCGCTTACAAACCCTATTACAAGTAGAGAATCT